TTTTTTTTTTTTTTTTTTTTTTTTTTTTTTTTTTTTTTTTTTTTTTTTTTACTACACGTTGCAATATTATAATCATAACTCTAGGTGGGCAAAATTAAATGCTTTTCAAAGGTCCTACTATCTACCATCGAAAACATGTTACAATAGAGTAGTTTGCGCGAGCGAAACTGGACGTTTTGAATCATTACGACAGAGCCAACTCTGAGACTATGTGGTAAGGTTTTTTTTGTTACAATTGTATCCTACTGAAGGAACTTGTCCGTGCAATTTCTATTAACTGTTAATACACGGACATGCACTCACTCACGCACACGCGAATTATTGTATTGTATGTTGTTGTTTATCGAACTAGACTTTTGGCAGGTTTGGTGATACATTATTTACAAATTCACGGTAAGTATTTATTGGTTTTTCAAAGAGAGACTAAATTAATATAGCGCTATTGAAAAATAATGCATTCAGAAAAATCCTTCCTGTATTTGAGTTTACTTGTAAAGCAGTAAATATATTGTTGCATTTAACGTTATTTTTCAAACCTTGACTTTCGCACAATGAATATTTAATTTTTTAATCAAATATATAAATAGATGTCTAGTATTCGTGCAAACGAGTATGCACTTTTTTTACTAACAAGCCACGACATTGTTTAGTTATCGACAAAATTTCGAAACAGCTTTACAAACTAATTGGTTTGAAAAAGTTTTTAAATCATACAAACAATGAAAGTATGCAATGGAGTCATTTATCTACAAAATAAACAGATTCAATATGCAACGAATAAATTTTTAACTACCTTATCCTGTAATAATAGTACTATTTTTCTTTGAAAAATGGACACACACACACTTTTATGCCTATGATTTCAACACCTTTGGGGCAATACGAGTTTTATATCATAAGTTTCATGGTATATTACTAGCCTCTAAGGTATTGAATACGTAAATATTATGGCACTGATACTTCTATTAAAAATGCATTTGCATTGCATTGCATTTATTTAAGAAATAAAAAATTATTTGTGAATGAGGAATGCATATTTCTCCATTTTAAAAGTAATTATGAGCGAAATCAGAGTTATATATTGCTCTCCGAAATTTCTTAATATATTTAATTAGATTTCTTGATGGATTTTTTTTTTTTTTTTTTTTTTCTTTTTTCATCATTNGCCTCCTCGACCATCATGGCCAGCATAGGCGGTGGCGTCGTCGGCCTCGGCTTCAGTCTCACCAATCCCAAGGGCATCGACATACTCAGCCAGATAAACGGGATTCTTGGTAACCGGGCTGCAAACTTTTCTTTTCTTTTCTTTTTTTTTTTTTTTTTGGGTGTGTGTCTACTTGCTAAAAAGTTGCAACAGAGTCGATGAGCAATGTTCGGACTTGGGCACGGGTTCTACCGCGATTTTTTTTTTTCACAGTGTAGTTTTTTGCCAAAAGCACAATGGATTATTTATGCTCGAAAAAAAAAGGAATTTTGTTTTTCCAATTAAGTACTTCTTACAATGCAGGGCTCAAAAACAATTTTCTACAGCAAAAACAATACACTGGTATTAGTGATGGATGAAACGTTTTTCCAGCGGATGGAAATTGCAGGAAAAACACATTTTCTACCAAAGCGTTGAAAAATCCGTAAAATAATTGTGCCCAAGTCTACTGGGAATTTTCGCGTATAGTGATCAAAATGTTTTTGTTGCAGGCTCGCTCGTCGCAGTCACTGGTGAGAACTTTCCAATGCACCATTGAAAAAAAAAAAAAAAAATAAAATAAATAAATAAATTAAAAAAAAAAAAACACAGGTGGCTGCTTCTTGTACCGCGCGTGGGAATCCATCCTCGTGGGGATGATAGGCGGGTTCGTGACGTGTTTCCTCATGCCAATGATCGACAGGATTGGAATCGATGATCCCGTGGGTGCGTCCGCGACTCACGGTACGTATAAAATATACAAGGTGTACACATACGGTACAATTTTCATAAATATATACAACCATGAGTTCCTTGGCAACAGGTGCTAGTGGAATCTGGGGTGTCCTCGCGATCGGTTTCTTCGCCGATAATCCATACCCCCTCAACACGACGAGTGGACGAAGTGGCCTGTTCAAAGGTACGAGCATGCACTACATGTGTCACGTGATTGCCGATACACGCGTTTTTCTATACTATTTTCCACGCCCATGTGACTGCACCAACCATTTACGTGAAAACGTACATGTACGAAATAATCGATTGTATACATAAAGAACGAGCGCTAAAAATAGCCACCGTTGCCGGTACAGGTGGAGGATGGGACCTGCTAGGGATTCAAGGTCTGACGGTCGTGGTTCTGTCCGCGTGGAGCTTCGTGTCGTCGGTAATTTTGTTATGGGTAAAGTGAAAAAATACAGAAAAAAAAAAAAAAAAAAAAAAATGCTTTAAATGCAAAGAATGACGTTTATTGTTGTTATATATGTATATAAATATACCTTGCTTTGATGCGGCTACAGGTGATTGACAAAATCATACCGATAAGAATGAGCGCGCACGAGGAGCTGCTCGGTGCCGATCTCGTCGAGCATCGGATACGACACACGCAAGTGAGCTTCTTTACATTCATTTTTTACTTGCTTATTTACATCGTACAGCGCTCTCTGGTTTTTCGATTAAGTACACGACAGGAATACAATTTTTTTTTTTTTTTTTTTTTTTTTTTTTTTTTTTTTTTT